GATTTCCAAGGTAAGTGACTGTACCACCACTGGAGAGAATTTATTCCACAGTCTGGACCACCCTGACTGTGAAGGAGTTTTTCCTCAAATTGACCCTGAAGCAGCCTTTTAGGAGTTTGTATCCATTGCTCCTGGTCTTCCCCAGGGGTGCCCTGGTGAACAGCTGTTCACCAAGTTCTTGATGTACTCCCTTAATGTAGCGGGAAGTCACTACCAAGTCCCCTCTCAGCCTTCTCTTCTGTAGGCTGAAGAGGCCCAAGTCCCTCAGCCTCTCCTTGCAAGTCCCTGATCATATGGGTGGCTCTTCTCTGGACCCTCTCAAGTTTTTCCATGCTCTTGTTGAAGTGTGGCACCCAGAACTGGATGCATTACTCCAGCTGTGGTCTCACCAGTGCAGAGTACAGTGGGAGTATCACTTCCTTAGTTTTGCATGAGATGCAATGGTTAATGCATGCCAGTGTGTTGTTTGCCCTGCTGGCCACAGCATTGCACTGCTGGCTCATGTTCATGCGATGGTCAGTCACTACTCCTGGGTCCCTTTCAGTCATGGTGCAAGGGAAATTGTTGCCACTGAGCCTGTAGGTATGTTTGGGATTGTTTGCCCCCACATGGAGCACCTTATATTTCTGAGTGCTGAACTTCATCCGGTTCAGGTCCGCCCAACTCTCCAGCCTGTCCAGGTCTGCCTGTATCTGCAACCGATCTTCTGGCATGACCACGGTCCCCCATAACTTGGTGTCATTCACAAACTTGGCCAGAGAGCTTTTCACCCCCACATCCAAAACATTGATAAAGATGTTGTAAAGCATCAGTCCAAGCACGGACCCCTGAGGGACACCATTGGCCACTTTGCACCAGGACAACACAGATCCGTTCATGAGAACTCTTTGGGCCCTACCCTGTAGCCAGCTTCCCACCTACTGAACTGTTGACCAGTTAAGCCCACAATCTTCCAATTTTTCCACAAGGATATCATGGGATACATTATGTACCCAGGCCTTTTGGAAGCTTGGGTGCATAATGTCAACCTTCTCTCCAGTGTCCAGGTGGCGAGAGACCTGTTCGTAGAAGGAGATGAGACTGGTAAGACAAGACCTATCTGTGACAAAGCCATGCTGGCTGTCATTCAGAATCATACCCTCAATGAGCATATCGCACATAGATTCTTTAATGAGCTTTTCCAGGATTATCCCTGGGGTTGAGGTTAGGCTGATTGGCCTATAGTTGCCCAAGTCCTCCCTCTTCCCCTTCTTGAAGATGGGCACAACGTTGGCCCTCTTCCAAACCTTAGGGATCTCCCCTGTGTGCCATGATTTCTGAAAGAGTTTTGGCAGGGGTTTTGCAATGACCTCAGCAGTGATGTTTAAGATACTGCTTCTATCACCATATTTCACAAGTCTGACCCAATTATTGCAAGGCAATAAAAAAGGAATAGAACCTAGTCTTTAATTTTAATCATCTCTGTGATACTAACAAGTCCAGACTACACTTTGCTTGCTACCTTCCATAACTCTTTATATCAATAAGCTGACTCCATGCACCAAATAAAGACATCTTCTGTCAAAGTGTACTAGCATGTGAGGTGAGACCATGTTATTTCCATATACTCTCCATCTCCCAGGCTGCTCACACTAGGCTGGATTCTCTGCTACAGCCCAGACATTTAAAGCAGTGGAGGGGTAATCGCATCACTTGAGGTTCTGACTCAGACAGGCTGTACACCAATTCAAAGCAGCTGTAAGCAACCCCGTGCCTGGGAAGTTCTCATTTAACCAGAGTCCCCTTCTTTCTGTTGTCAGAGCAACTCCAGGGAAGTAGAATAGGGGAGAAAGTCTGGCCCTGTGCCTCAGGGTTACCATGAGCCTCATTTATCAAGTAGCAAGAAACAGCTAATGTCTCCAATTAAAAACAACAACAACACACCCCTCCTTGATAGACAAACAGCAAGTAAATTTGTGCTAATTGGTGCTGTGAGGTGCCACATATTTGTACACCAGCAGTGCTAAAGTTATGATTCACAAGATAAAGCCAGAGATTTCAAATAGGAATCCATAGTGTTAAAAACATTCTATCCTGTTGCAGTCTTTCTGAGGTTTTTGCAACAGAAGAATCACTCTTATTTTCCTATAGTCAAAACATGTGAAAACTAGGAGCTGGCATTTTCTGAGGGGTGTGCCTTGAGTCTCTCAAGGGATACGTCAAGTTTATTGAGGGGTGCCTCAAGTCTAAAAGGCTGAGAACCACTGAACTAGAGCCATTTATGCTCATCATTACTACCACCTCTGACATTAGCACAGCAGGAAACTTTTAATGTAATGAGGTTAGGCATGGGTCTTGAAGGAACAGAATAATATGCCTTGCCATCATAAACACAAGGAACATCTTTCTGCAGGTTAGCTAAGTTATGCTCATGAATTCACAGTGCTGTGCCAACTGCTGTGCTGCAAAAGATGGGGTATTTGTAGGTTGCATGGGCTGGTTGGCATTTATCCATTAAAAGCCAGAACAATTAGATTAAACTTCATGAAAAAGCTCCAAATTACTAAAATATATGAAGCTTGAAAAAACTAAGATGTGCGTCTCTCTCATCTGTAAGAGACACAGAGAGAAACTACTGACACCCCCCAAGGCACCATGTTTGTCTGCAATATTTTTGTTCCTTCACATATTAAAAGTTATAATGAAAAAGATGTTACCTTTGCATAAGAAAATCTGAAATCTTGGAGTTTAATCAGTAACACAATCAAAGAATTGCTATTGCAAAATAATTTAATTAAATGCTCAGTGATTTCAAGTGCCATAAAACTGGAGAGCTCCTTGGGGGAAAAAAAAAGATTTTTATGCATTAATCTACACATGAAGTTATTGATATGTTCTCCTATACCCTCTTCAAATGCTTACCCTCAAGCCTCATCTTCCGCTTCATAAAAATAAGTCAACAAGTTCACAGTTTAAACAACTAACTGTATAGCTCTTTTTGAAGTATCGTGTAAAACACCAAAAAAAGAATTCCACCCACTCTAAATATAAAAAAAATAATAATATGGAATTCCTCTTCTGGGAGACCCAGGACTGACTGTAATCAGCTTGGAGAGAATATTCTTAGCATGTGCATGATGCATGAATCAACACCTGAAATATTGCCAACACACATGAAAGGTCCTGAATAAACATTCAGATTTCTGAAAGGCTAATTGGGTTGGCAGAAGAGGAAGAAAGGTATAACAGATGGTTCAAATACGATGCATGCTTCAAGAAAAAAAACTGAGTCCAGTTATAATACAAAATTATTTAAGAATAAGCAAGTAATCTGTGAGAGATTAAGCAAACTGATGCCCACGCTGGGTTTTCAATGCATGTCAGGACTTGCCCACGTGGAGAGCAAAAGCAGGCTAGTTGCATTTAAACAGAATTGCAGCTAGCTACATGGCAAAATTCACTGAGAAATGTGTAGGCAAGACTATGTCAAAGACAGCAAGGGGAAAGTAAGACCCATCATCCACCACAAATACAATCAGGTCAGATCATAAAAGTTCCTAGAACCAGTTACTAAATCCCTGGTTGAATTGTGTCTGCAAAACAGATTTTTTTCATGGCTCCACTCCTGTGCCAAACATATTGGGACATCCACACCTTTCATGCTGCCAAACAATGTCTGCATTAATGCCTTCTAGGAAAATCTGGGCAGCTATTCCATAGTGCCTCAACGGAGTAGAAAGGGTGCCTTGGGAAGTGACAAAAGAAAGCGGCCACACGTAGAGCAAAGGCATGTTGGATGTCCAGCCGCGTAGGAAACTAGTAGACAAGAAGACCACAGACATAATAAGGGAATCTTTTCTATGCTATGAAAAGCAGCCCACAACATTTTACTTCATTTCCAGGATGGCAGTCACATCTCAGCCCAGACCACTTGCAACACTATTAACCTCATGGTTAGCAACTGGATATTAACCATGTCCCATATTGTGCCTGGACAAGGACTCTATTTCAATCAACGGTACTGTGAACTTGGCTAAACTTGCACTGTAGATAAAAGCCTGATTCTACCATGGGATTTCATAACACAAAACATTTACACTGTGATCCCACTGTGTAACTGTAACCTAGATAGAGAGCTAGCTCCAGTAATGAGAGTGGTGAAGTGGTGAGCTGTGTGTTGCCACAGCTTTACAGTAGGCAAGCCTTCCAGATGTTTGCCCATGATCTCAACCAGGTTTTGCACTCCACGATGAATCCTGTGCTATCCTATCGTGAGTAGTGGAGCTGGCTACTTGAAAGCTAACTCAGGTATGCCTACAATCACAGCTTTGCATTTGGGCATGGACATAACCATTCTAAACCAGAAATCCTACAGAAAAAGTCCTAGAACACTCCTAAATACAGCTTGAGCAAATATTATTCCACAATCAGCACAAAGTAAGGTTTCTATTTTCTGAGCCTGAAGAATAAAATTAAGTTGTGAAATGTACAGTATTATCTTTAGAAACACTCACGTAGCATTTGTTCAAAAAACAGTCATTATACCTAGTTAATTTAGTGACAGCCAATAAGAGCAATGAATAATATGTGTACTTTCTTTTTCCTGCCAAAAGTTACAAAAAGAGAAAGGAAGTTTCAAGAAGTTAGAAATCAGCTTCATTCATCAATGATAAATTTTAAAAATGTAATACTATCTGTTACCATCAGATCTGCATTACAGACCTCTGAAGCATAGATTTATGAGCATAAAACACTGCCAACAATCTCTGCTTGGAACTGAGGATGCTCTGGCATTCTCCCGACCTTCAGAAAGAGCAGATCTCTAGATCTGCAAAACTAATGTCAGCATAGTCCCAGAAAGAGGTATGGCATAAATGAAAGTCAGTAGAACAAACCAAATACATTACTAATTTTTATTATGCTAATGAATAGTGTCTGGACGAAGTTCAAAGCACAAGCTAGTATTAAAAACCTGAAATACCCAAGAGTTAAAAAATGACTAGTAAATATGGGTTACTAACCGAAGACATTCTGAAGGAGCCTGGTTTTCAATACTTTCTGACAATCTGGTCCTTTATGGTAGAGGTTCCCAACCACCAGGTCTGGCTGAAGGGTTGGCTGCAGGGTTGTGCCACGAGCGCCCCACTCAGACCCCCGTCTGTCTGTCCAAGCAAGCAGTTTCTGCCACCGGCAGTCACGTGCGGGGTTAAAGCTTGACAGAGGGGCAGCCCCGGGAGGGAGGGAGGCAGCCAGCTCTGTGCTCTCCGTCCTGCTCTCTGCGTGTCCTTAAAAAAGTTTGGGAAACACTGATTTATGGTACCAACCTAGACACCCAAGAATCACTGCTTACTTTTAAAAATCTTGGCACTAAATCACAAAATACTTTGGTGTGTACTTCATGTAAAAAATAAATAAATAAATAACAAAATCAAGGGATCTATCTATTCATTATTTAAAACTTAAACAAAGCACCTTGAAGGAATAAAGCATATGGGGGCGGGGGTGAGTGAGTGAGTGAGTGAGAGATTAGAGCAGCTCCTGGACAGCCCTTCTAATTAAAACACTGCAGCATCACATGTATTCAGAGTCCCATGTTTCAAAATGGCCGAGGGGATGTTTTAACTAAAGCTCATTAACACGATGGTGAGGCACAGTGGAAAGTTCTAATTAGCTAGACATACAGGGTGCCTATACAGGTGCTCCAATGCGTTCTGATTACAACACTCCAGCAGACTCTATTTATGGAGTCTGCTCTGATGCATTTTAATTAGAACGCATTGGAGCACATGTATAGACACCCTGTATGTCTAGCTCTAGTTGTACCACATGGTTAGCATGTAGGTTTTTAAATTTGATTCCCACATGTAACAGGAGAGCATTTAGTATTAATATCTTTGTTCTGTTTTGTACAGTAACTGCATGGTTGTAAAGTAAGCTGAAAGTAAAGTTGGACTTTGTTTGATAAAATTAAGGTCTCTGCAATTTAAAACTCCAATTGGTGAAGTACACAGATTGGTAGCTGTCAACATATCTTCAAGTGCCCTTATTTGTATGTACATTTTTCTTCTGTCTACACCATGAAGGATTTTTTTTCTGGTTCATTTATACGTTGATTCTAATAAGCCCAGACAGGTAGACCTATAAAACTTCTGATTCTTTCAGCAACCAATATTACTAGGACTGTGAAGACCGTCACTTATGGATTGATAAATGGACTATACAGGCTAATTGTATTTAAGTGGCTTTGGACAGATGGCAAATCTTACAGCCATATGGTAATTATTTCCACTGTGTTGAAAGTATATTAACACTTACCAAAAATGTTTAAGTGAGATGGTCTAAAATAATTTTTCCATGAAACCCAGAATAAATGAAAAACTAAAGAGCTCAGATGAGCAAGACTTCTGCACTCTGGAGAGGACTATTTTTCCCAGGATTTCAGTTTAGTGCAGACTCAGGGGCCTTGGGGTAACATATCATTATTGATCCAACTGGCTGTGTGCAGTGACTCCACAGCTTGAGTACAATAGTGCTTGTAGCCAGAGGATAATACGGGCTCATTTTCAGCTCTTTTGCATTACCCTCGATTTAGCTGCCACATTTACTACTTGATATTTATGCTGTCTTCTGATTCAGTGGCATAACAAGCAAGGTTCGTACCCTAGGCAAACCCTGCAGGAGAGCTGGGGGTGGGAGAGTAAGCAGGAGGGCACAGGAGTTTTATCCAGTCCCTAGCTATTTCTATTGCCATTGCATGCTTTGCCTATGGCCTGACTCCTGCTCTTAAAGCAGCAGCAGTGTGTAGTACCTGTACATTGGCTGCTGCTGCAAGAGCAACACTGTGGGGCTGCTCTTGCTGCCAGGGCACGGACTCCATGGGGGTGGAGGATGATTTTGGCTGCCCTAAGTTGGCGCCAGGCCTCTCACCCATGCCAACTTATGCTACTGCTCTAATGATTCTAGAGCTGGCAATATTGCACTATGTTTATTTTCTCTTCCAGGGAAGAATTTAGGAAATCAAGTATTTGGATCCTGAATTGGCTTTAAAAGTCAACCATATTATCATCTCAGTTGTATTCCAGTTTTTGAAAGTGAAAAGAACCAGATCTTCAACCAAAGGGTGCCAGAAAGCTGGCTTTATCAGAACTGCTGGGGACTCTTCTTGCATAGGAAATTCTCTGGATGACAGGTAACTGGCTCCACAGGATCTGCTCCTGTCTCAACCATCTGGTACATGAACAAGATGATGAGTGATGGGCCTGTACCATGAAAAGGCTTGTAGTGGGCTGTTACTGCAACAACAGAGATTAAATCAACCTGTGGAGGGCAAAGAAACTGGTGACTTTGAATTCAGGGTGCCAAAAAGATTAAAAAAAACAATCTATGTCTAGCCCTGTTCTCAGGTACTGTTCAGGTTCATATCAGAATCACAGCCACAGGTCCTCTAAAAAGTGGTCTATCAATTATGTTGTTAAATCCTATAGAAATTCTTCAGGATTAGGATTGTAGTTTACCATAGTTACCCAATACCAACAAGTCATTACATTGATATTATGTCAAGGTGATACCCACCCTAAGGCCATATTCAACCCATATCCCATTAGCCCATATCCATTATTTTATGTTTTCATCATTGGGCTTCTCTGGTCCAGAAGGTAAATTTAACCTTTAAAAGACAACAGAAAAAAATACACAAGCAAGGCCCGATTCCCTTCTTAGTAATACCTGTTTTACAGTGTTGTAACATAACAGTCAAAGTTACCACTTACACCAGTATGAATGGGAACGGCCTGGCCTCTAGTGAAGCATTTTAATGCCAACACTGTAAAGCCAGATGGTACAATCCAAGTGAATTATCATTTAACCTTTTAGAGAAAACTTAAAAGGCTTCATTCCTTTTAAACAGATTTGGAAAGAACAGCCCTGCAGACTTAAAGTAGTCTGCTTGGGCAGTGCCAGTCTTACACGAGACTTCTTGCCACTTAATCAACAAATGGGGAAAGGCAGAATTTATGTACCAGTTTCTGCTCCTTCCTATGAATAACTTCCAGAAAGCTAAAATCTACTCCTCATAGTCATTACGACTGAATGCAAAGAGATCAACTACACAGTCAATGGAGATAAAGTACCAGTTGGTGAGAAATTCTTACTATACTTGTAGCAAGTTTACATTTTTGCACCACAACTATAATTAAAAGAGAGAGAGAAGCATAGAAAAGAACAATCCTGTGACTTACAGTGTTCTGCCATTAGTCACTGGTCAGTTTCTTCCGAGCTCTGGGGAGATGGCAAATTACAGCTTCAATGGCCTCCCGCTAGAAAGACAGAGGTGTAATACGGCAGCAGGGCTCCCAGGGCAGCAGCAACTTCTGGCTGCCAGTGCCACTGGGACAATTGTGCAGCTGTGGTGGCAGCTGTTATTTTTTTGTGTGCCCCTTCAAGTTGGCAACTGGGGCTCCTAGCCCCAGGCACCCTGCCTTAATTACACTACGGTTGGATTGATACAGCATAGGCTAGAGCCCATTTCCATAAGCTACTTTAATATGGCTCTGCCAAGTCCTAGAAATGCAAGTCACCTCCACAAGCATGAAGATTGCTCAGTCTGTGTTTGGCTCTGTTGGAACAGCCAGCAAGAGCACCCTTGCACCCAAGAGCATTTTGTTAGGCACATATCCATTAGGAAATAATTTTTTATACGCCTCTTCACAAATGTCTGTCCCTATCAGCCTGGTCCACTTCAAAAGGATCCATCTCTTATGCTGTTCCCCTGAACCAACCAAGTACCAATACATTAACACATTTGCGATGGCCACAGGAACATTTAGAAATTATGAAGATGGTGTTTTATATGGAATTAAGACAGATTCAACATTTTTAAAACCAGTTCCTTAAGGGTCTCTTCCTTTGAGCTGCCCCACTTTTTTGGATCAGCCTGGATTTCAGATCTATTTGAGGCTCCTGAAGCTTCAAGTTCTCTTCATATCAACTACCTTGCAAGTAATACATACAGTCAGATTCTCATCTCAATTACTGTGGATAAATGCTGATTTAATTTCCGTTAAAATCCAATGGAATTATACTGCTATAAACCGTGTATCAAGTGAGAGGAGAATCAGGTGCCCTGGTGCTATCAACAAAATGATCACATCCAGAGCCCGTCACTTTGACAATTTTGTAGTTAACATCTAGGATCAATATTATCAATACTACAGGATGCTATCTGATAATGATTTAAACACCTACTGCATTACACAGATGGTATTTAGTAATTTGGGAAAAAAAGCCCATAGTTTTCTTTGTCCTGTGTTTAACAATAGCATGAAAAATCTTTGCAATACCAGATTGTGCTTAGCAAAACTCCAATACAATCCTCCTCCTCTTTTTCTGAGGACTGAGCATGCATGATGACTGTACTGAATCCTCCTTCCTCCCACCACTGGAGGCAATAAAAATATATTTTTGCCATGTTTGTGCAGCGTGTTTATTCACACTGACCAGGTGAATAATGGTAGAATACTGGTCATCACTGAAGATCATCTCTTCTCACACACCAGATTTTTTCAGATACCAATGAATGGCATCTGGAAAGAGTATTTTGTAATCTCTATCAAAAATACCTCAGTGAGAAAAAGGTAGGAGCTGTTTAATGAACAGAAAGATATTTATCCTTATTATGCTATATCAGCAACATTTGTATTCATATAGAAATTTGAAATTCATTTTAAGAGGAAACCCTTTCCCCTTTAAAAAGGAATACGTTTTTATCTAAAAAAGTACATCTTTGCAGAGATATTTCAGATGAAGCAAACAGACCCTGATCTTTCTTCCAATTCAACTCATAACACAAGCAAGTAATAAGTGCCAATAATGCACATTTTCTCTACACAAACATTGTATGCTATTGCATGATTTTGACTATGAAATATTTTATAACATTTTAGTCAATTGTTCCGGGGGCGTGAAATCAATTGGCACAATTTGGTTTTTATTCTGAAAAGTTATGAGACTTAAAAAATTTCTGAAAGTGCAGACAAATTAAGAACATGAATCACAAATATAGCAAAATGCAAAGAAAACAACACCCAGAAAAAGACACTTGCCTACTGAGTTTCCATGGCAATTCCAAGATGCATTAAAAATGGATTATCTGAAGAATGCATAGAATGTAGGTCTTCAGAGGGAACCCATATAAATATCTGCTACAGCTTCTGCCCGTTTCCCACCAAAAAGCCCACACCCCAGTTGCTATCACATACAAAGAAACATGCTCTGGT